GCCCCCAGCGCCTTCCTCTGCACCCCCTGCACTCAGCCTGTGGCCTCTGAGCCTTCTCCTCCCGGGCCCAGCTCTGGTGCCAGCTTCACACCCTCAGGGTCGAATGTGGGTCGCAGCCCTGACCGGTTTGGCTCAGTGGATAGAGCGTCAAACTGGGGACTGAAAGGTCCCGGGTTCGATTCCAGTCAAGGGCATGTACCTTGGTTGCAGGCACATCCCCAGTTTTGGGGTGGGGGTGGGGTGCAGGAGGCGGCTGATAGATGTTTCTTGCTCATCAATGTTTCTACCCCTCTTTGTAAAAAATCAATAATACATATATACATATAATATATATATATATAAAATATATGTTATTGATTTTTTACAGAGAGGAAGAGAGAGGGATAGAGAGCCAGAAATATCGATGAGAGAGAATTATCGATCAGCTGCCTCTTTGGGGCTGTGCCCACAACCAAGGTACATGCCCTTGACCGGAATCGAACCCAGGACCCTTCAGTCCGCAGGCCGATGCTCTATCCACTGAGCCACACCGGTTTTGGCCGTATATATATTTTTAAATGTGGGTCGCAGGTGTCTTGAGGAGGCAGGACCTTTCGCTGGCCATTCTGACCGCCCCCCCCCCCCCCCCAGGCCTCTGAGCATCAGGGCAGCCTCCTGCCACGTGTTTCTAGGTCAAAACCAACGCAAGCCCCCGGCACTCTCCGGTGCTGGTCTGATGCGATGCCCCCTGCTCTGGTGTGTTGTCTGGGGGGTGACTGCCTTTGTGGAGGAATAAAGACCCGTTAGGTGGCACGTGTCAGAAATCGCAAGTGCACATCGCCGGAAAGCAGGAATGTGTCACACAGGTCTGTGGAGTGCCTTCCAGCTCACGTGGCCTCCGGGAGGACCGGGCCTCTCCAGCCCCCTGTCCCTGCTTCTCCGTCCACACGCGTGTCCTGCAGCCAGCTGCTGGACCCAGGGGCCACATCGGAGGGCATTTTGTGAGCTGACTGTTATGTCCCGCCATTATTAAACCTTAGATCATACCAACCTAAAATGAAGTGATTATACAAAAGTAAAATTAAAGTAACTCAATGTTGATTCCATCCTGATTATTTCACTGCATTTCACGCTGGCCTGTGCACTTGAGGTTGTTGGCATGGTTGTGTCTGTGCAGCGGAAATCCCAGCTGATGGCGTGCTGGCTTGAACGTGGCCGCTGGTGGGGATAGTTGCACCTTGGGAATTGGCAGACAGTGCAGGTCAGGGCTTGGTGTGTGGTTTTGGTGGTTGTGCGGGGCAGCGGTCAGCAGACCTGTCCTGTGAAGGACCAGGGAGAAAGTCCTTGCAGCTTCACGGGCCATGTGATCTCAGTTGCAGCGGCTCAGTAATGCTGCTGCTGCGGATAATAGGCAAACACATGAGTGTGGCTGTGTTACAATAAAACTTTATATAAAAAACAAACAAAACAGACCTTGGGCCGGATTTGGTCTGAGGGCCAGTTTGCTGGACCCCTGATCTGGACTTAAGAAAGTGGTGGAGAATCCGTTAATCAGTAAAGATTAAGCTTCAAATTGTTCCTTGTCTCTGAACTTAAGCAGAGATGGCAGCCACGGGGGGCGGAGAGGGGGGCCGGCAGGAAGCCGGGTGTTTCGAGGAGAGAGGATGAGCAGTGTCGCCACCAGGAAGAAAAGAAGAAACACTCCTCCAGTTCTGGAAGGTGGTTATCTGTTCCCACCGAGAAGGCCAGTCCGTTCTGGCCACATTCCCTGTGGCCTCCTGCTCCCACTCCCCCCTCCCTGTTACCGGCCCCACGCCCAGAGCCAGTCTGTGCTGACAGCAGCCGCGGAGCACGTGGCTGCGGATACCAGCGTGGCTGCGGATGCCCCGTGGCTGCGGATGCCCCGTGGCTGCGGATGCCCCGTGGCTGCGGATACCACGTGGCTGCGGATGCCGCGTGGCTGCGGATACCGCGTGGCTGCGGATACCGCGTGGCTGCAGACACCAGCGTGGCTGCGGATGCCGCGTGGCTGCGGATACCACGTGGCTGCGGATGCCGCGTGGCTGCGGATACCGCGTGGCTACGGATACCGCGTGGCTACGGATACCGCGTGGCTGCGGATGCCCCGTGGCTGCGGATGCCCCGTGGCTGCGGATGCCGCGTGGCTGCGGATGCCGCGTGGCTGCGGATGCCGCGTGGCTGCGGATGCCGCGTGGCTGCGGATGCCGCGTGGCTGCGGATGCCGCGTGGCTGCGGATGCCGCGTGGCTGCGGATGCCGCGTGGCTGCGGATGCCGCGTGGCTACGGATGCCGCGTGGCTGCGGATGCCGCGTGGCTGCGGATGCCCCGTGGCTGCGGATGCCCCGTGGCTGCGGATACCAGCGTGGCTGCGGATGCCGCCCCGTGGCTGCGGATACCAGTGTGGCTGTGGATGCCAGTGTGGCTGTGGATGCCTCGTGGCTGTGGATGCCTCGTGGCTGCGGATACCAGCGTGGCTGCGGATACCGCGTTACAATAAAGCTTCGCTGTAACACAGCCACGCTCCTGTGTTTGCCTGTAACCCACAGCGTCGGATAGAAGCGCTCTGAGAGTCCGCTGGCCGTGCCTGGAATTCACCACGAGAAGTCTTGTGTGTTGTTTCTTCTAAGTTGTGCTGCACGCGTTTTATACCAGCTCACTTTACTATGACTCTGTTTGTGCCCGTGTACGCACATGCACGCACGCACGCAAACGCGCTTCCCTGGACAGCCTGCCACTGGGACCGGGGAGACTGCGCTGTCTGCACTCAGCAGCCAGTCCCTCCGTCCCCATTCCCACGGCCCCCTGGTCCCCCTCTTCTTACCACCTGCCCCTCAGCACCTCCCCCAACAGCCTCTGCCCCCTAGGGAGCTGCCATCTGATAGTTCCAACCGCCCCTGGTTGGTCAGCCCTGCGTCACCCTTTCAAAGCCGTCCCTCTGCCTCTGGTCTTCTCGCCGGCAGCTCCCAGCGCACACTCGGCTCCGCACACCCAGTAACCACAGGAAATGCACCCTTTGGAGCTCCAGCAGGACACACCTACAGCCTCAGACTGTGGTCTGTCAGCCCGCGGTCCCCAAGCTCCGTAAGGGCCCCCAGGACCCGGACAAGGGGAAGGACCCCCACACTGCCTGTGGGGGAGCACCTCGGCCTGTCCCTCCGCAGCGCCTCCTGCCAGCCGGACTGGGGATCCTCCACCCCAGCCCAGCCTCCTTCCTGGTGTCCGTCCACACACACACACACACCACACACACCACACACACACACCACACACACACACACCACACACACCACACACACACCACACACACCATACACACACACCACACACACCACACACACACACACCACACACACACACACACACACACACACACACACCACACACACCACACACACCATACACACCACACACACCACACACACACACACACACACACACACCACACACCATACACACACCACACACACCACACACACACACACCACACACACACACACACACACACACACCCCCACACACACACCACACACACCATACACACCACACACACCACACACACACACACACACACCACACACACCACACACACACACACCACACACACCACACACACACATCCCACACACACACCACACACACCACATACACACACACATCCCCCCCCACACCACACACACACACCACACACACACACAGACACACACACTCACACACACACGGTGCCTTTCCCTTCCCAGAATTCCTTGGGGGAGCCCTGTAACCCATACGTGATGAGGAACCACACACAGAACTGCAGGATTGTGGTTTTAGCAGCTTTAAAAGCCTTTTACTTCCTTTCCAATAATGTGCGTGCCGTGAACATTGAAGCAGTGGCTCAAAGTTCGTTCATTCATTCATTCATTCATTCAGCAGGCCCTTCTTTTGCCCCATCCAGTGACAGAATAGTGAACTGACACAGCCCTCGCCCTCATGGGCTCTTAGCAGTGACATGTCCTAAAACCTCAGGGTGGCATGAGTTTTTAAAGGTAATTCTTAAAGCCCTAGCTTGGTTCAGTGGATAGAGCGTCGGCCTGCGGACTGAAGGGTCCCGGGTTCGATTCCGGTCAAGGGCTTGTGAGCCTTGGTTTCAGGCACATCCCCAGTAGGGGGTGTGCAAGAGGCAGCTGATTGATGTTTCTCTCTCTCCCTCTTCCTTCTTCTCTGTAAAGAAAATCAATAAAATATGTATTTTTAAAAAAGATAATCCTTTATTACGACAAAACAATTTGACAGTATATTGGGGAAGAGGGGACAAAAGTAGGCTTACAGTTATGAGTATGCAAAGCAGTTTATTGTCGTATTATTTATTAATCATTGTGTTATTTTCTGTAATAACTGTAAGCCTACTTTTGCCCCACCCTGTATATTAACTTCCCAGATAAATAACTGGGTAGAGTAAGCGTTTAAAATGGGCAAACTCCTTGATACTTCGTCATACCCTTTAACGGTTCTGTGCCTTTGTGACTGCCAGGAGGTCACGCTCCTTCCTGCCTCCCACTTGGGGGCGTGGACACTGGGCCTGCGGACTGCTGGGAAGGGCTCAGGCTCGGGGTCACCCCTGCCGTTGCCGTGGGGATACGAATTCAGCTCCAGAAAAGTGAGCTTGGCGCAGCTCCGGCTCCTCAGAGGCCCCTTCAACCCTCACTAGGCCCTCCCTCCCCACAGAGCCCCCAGGACCTGGGGGATATGTCCCCCCAAAGCCCAGATCCCCTTCCACACCCTCCCTGCCCGGGCAGCCCCAAGCCAGCAGAGTGTGCACCCAGACCCGGCTGGCCAGGGCTGGCTGGTAGGCGGTGGGCTGGGCCGAGCGGGGCTGGACGGGGCTTTGAGGCCTCTCGCCCCTCTTTTCTCCGGGGACACTCGGGAGCGGGATTGTCCTTGTCTGAGAGCGCCCAGTCACTCCCCCGCTGGCTGTCCGGGCGCCGGGCCTGATGCCGTGCCCTCTGCTGCTTACCCCTCAGCTGGGGGGTCCCCCTGGCCATCACCGCGGCCGCCGTCGCCATGAAGAAGATCGGCTACGACGCCTCGGACGTGTCCGTGGGCTGGTGCTGGATCGACCTGGAGGCGGAGGACCGTGTCCTGTGGATGCTGCTGACCGGGAAGCTGTGGGAGCTGCTGGCCTACGTCACGCTGCCCGTGCTCTACCTCCTCATCCGGAAGCACATCAACAGGGCGGTAGGTGCCCGCGCCCGCCCCCCGCGGCCCCGCGGCCCACTGTGCCCGCTGCGGGCTCGCCCTGAGCTCTGGCATTGGGCTCGGCCACCGTAGGGGACAGGACCAGTATCGGAGAGCCCTAGCCGGTTTGGCTCAGTGGATAGAGCACTGGCTGCTGGACTGGAGGGTCCCGGGTTCGATTCCAGTCCCGGGCACGGCCCTGGGCGGGGTGCGTGCAGGAGGCAAGCAATCGATGTGTCTCTCACATCGGTATTTCTCTCTGCCCCTCACTCTCCCTTCCACGCTCTCTAAAAATCAGTGGGAAAATATCCTTGGGTGAGGATGAACAACAGGACTAGTAATGGAGAGCTTGGGAGGCGTCATGGCTTGTCTGGTTTGCTGACCATACGGTCCTGTCAGGAGCGGGTCCGGGGACTCCTGCTTTGTGGGTGAGGAAAGGGGGGCTGACAGAGGTGAAGGGCTCCCCAAACCCTCTCAGCTCCCAAGGAGAGAGCACCAGCCTGAGTGCCTGGCCACAGCCCTCTACTGCCCCCTCCTGGACAGCCCTGGGGTGGCTCAGCGGTGAGAGGACTTGAGGTGAAAGTGAGGGGTGTCTCAGTAAGTGAACTGGGAGGGAGGCCACGGGCCTCACCCTACTGAACCGGTCACTCACCTCCTTAGCCTTGGGGATTCGGGTTAACATCGCAGCTGGTCCACTTTGCAGGCACGCAGGCGGCCATACACCCACACGCTGGGCCAGATGACCAGACGTCTCCTGACCCCAGGGCTGGCCGCAGATTCCGGGGAAGAATGGTCTTCCTGTGACGGGCTGGCCAAGCTGCTTCCTGGGCTCAGCTGCTGGTTCTGAGTGTGAGGATGGGCTTCTTCCCGGCCCCAGGCAGACTACCGCCAGGAAGGGCCTCGGTGCCTCGCCCGCCTATCAGCTCGGCCATGTGCTCAGAGCACGCTCAGTGAGCATCTACTTGCCAAACCACTGTGTGCGGTGGGGACCCAGGCGGGATCCTGTCCGAGGGAGAGGCAGGAGTGTGAGTCGTTATGATAAAGATGCTCATTGTGATAAAAGAAGATGCTCGGTGACCAGAGGCCAGAGCAGGAAGGCAGGTGCCCGTAACCCCGAATGTGGCCTCCCTCCCAGCTCCCGCTGCAGGGTCTGAGTGCTCAGACGGGACGCGCAACCAGGGGCCTCACTGCTGCCCCGCAGCCATTTCTGGGGGTGTGGGCGCTCCTGGCAGCTGTGTGACACCTGATCCTCACCCCGGATTCCCACCCACATGGACACTCCTGGTTCTCATTTTACTCTGACTTGGCCGGATGCTCGTCCCTCCTGTCCCCCCTCTGACTCAGCTGGAGAGATACCTGCAGGACTTACCCACTGGCCCGAAGCCCTCTTTGTGTTCTTGCCTGGGCCAGGCGGTGCCCTCCCACCTCCTCCTGTTCCCACTGCCCTCGGGGGGCTCCGGGCTCCGGGATGAAGACTCCCAGAGTTCCACCAGCTCTGCCCAGGGCGCCCCTCAGAGCTGGCCTTCTGCGTCTCTCCTCCCCGCCCCTCCTGTAACGGCAGGAAGTCTGAGACCCTTGGGCCGGTCCCCGAGTGTGAGACATCCACGTGGAGATGTGCCACAGGCCGGGGATCAAGGAGAACGGAGTTCGGGGAGAATCTGGGCTTGAGAGGGAGCCTGGGGCTCGTGCAGGGGGGAGCTATGCTGGGAGCCTGGGCTGCAGCGTGCAGGGGGAGGCGCTCCACGCCTCACTGCTCCCCCTCCTGCGAGTCAGGCCTGGGAGGACCGCACCCCGGGCAGCTGCGGGCGCCCCGTCCGCTCACGGCACTCTGGGTGTCCCTCACAGCACCAGGCGCTGTCCGAGTACCGGCCCATCCTGTCCGAGGCGCACCGGCTGCAGCACCACAGCTCCATGGCCGACAAGAAGCTGGTGCTCATCCCGCTCATCTTCATCTGCCTCCGCATCTGGAGCACCGTGCGCTTCGCGCTGACCCTGTGTGGCTCCCCGGCCGTGCGGGCCCCGGTGCTGGTCGTTCTGCACGTAGGTAGCTCTGCCCGCCCCCTCACTCCCCGCACCCCCCCACCCCCCACCCCCCCCCCCACCCCCACCCCCCCACTCCCCCCCCCCCCCCCCCCGCTGCTCCCAGCGGCGGTGTCAGATCCCTCCCCTGCAGGGTGGACACGTCCCAGTGCATCAGCCAACGCAGGGCTTCCTGCCGGCCGAGGCAGAGAGCCTGGGGGAGAGAAGGTGGAAGGTCAGCGGGCTCTAGGCAGCCCCCCCTGTGTGCATCCGGGTGCTGCCCAGCGGCCTTGGAGGAGCCCAGGAGAGGGGTGCTCCTGGGTCCTTCCCAGCCCGGGACACCTGGAGACGGGGCTGGGCCGGGTCTGCACGCTCAGACCCGCCACCGGCTCACATGCAGGGTCATAGCAGCCGGGGTGCAGGGTACGGTCTGGGGTCTGCAGCAGCTGCCTGCCCCCCACCTGTGTGCTGAAGACCCCTGCAGCCCCGCACCCCTGCCCCTCCTCTCGCCCCTGCAGGGGATCGGGAACACGTTTCAGGGAGGCGCCAACTGCATCATGTTCGTGCTCTGCACCCGCGCCGTCCGCACCCGGCTCTTCTCCCTCTGCTGCTGCCGGTCCCCGCCGCCCGCCGAGAGCCCGGCCGCGCCCAAGGCCTCTGCGGCCTCCGGGACGGGGGACTCGGGGACCCGGGGGGACCCCTGCGAACTTCCGCACACCTGAGCCCCCCGTCCCCCCCGGGGTCCGTGCGGGCGCTCCTCCCGGGACCAGGGCTCTGACCGCTGCAGGGAGGGGCGGGGACCCTGCAGCGGAGCCTGCCGTCTGCGGTCAGAGCTCCCGAGGCCTGTGCAGGGCGGCCGCCACCAGCTTCTCTACCTCTGGACCCTGCGGCAGCAGGTGTCCGCACCCGTGTCCGTGTGCTCGGCGTCGGTCCGCGGGAGGTGGCGGTGAGACTCAGGGGCACCAGGGCACGCGACCACTGCCGGGTCAGCGGCCTCTGGACCACCCGGCGCTGTTTACAGTCTGAGGACCCACCCCCGCGGGAAAAGCAGGAAGAGCTACGGGCACCATGGACCCTCCCGAGTCAAACGCCAGGGGCCGCCAGAGAGGTGGCCCCACCTGCATACCGTGCAGCAGATTCCCGGCGGGTCAGGGAGTGGACCTGCCCCCGGAGCGTGGCTGTTCTGGGGGCGGCTTTGCCAGCCAACAGGAGCCGGGCACCTTGAACCAGGGTCCGCAGCCTGGGACCCTCCCAGCCTCCCGGGTGCCAGCCTTGGTGTAGGTGGCACCTGAGTTTCCAGCACCGGCCAGAGCCCGGCCTCCGGCCTCCTCCAGGGCCCGGCCGTGGGCAGGGATGAGGAAGGCCGTGGCGAGTACCCCCGGGGGTGCCCAGGTGGCAGGTCTGTGCTGTGAGCGCCGGCTGGCCGTGTCAGGAGGGGTCTGCCCACCCCTAGGTCAGTCCTTACAGGAAAGGGGACCAGAATACTGATCCCTCCCCGAAGGCGCAGGTTTGGGAGCTGGTGGGGGGAAGTGACATATGGGTCACAGATGGTAACTTTCGTTTAATAGAAAAAGGACTTAAAAGGAGCACCTGTAACTCTATGTTCTGTGGCTCTCCTGCAGCCCTTTAACTTTCTCGGAAGTCACAGAAGTCCTTGGCTAAGGAGATGCTTAGATGTCACCACAGGAACCTTGGTGGAGCCTCTGGGGTCCAGAGCCTTAGGGGGGGCGGAGACAGTGGGGTGGGTGGAGCCCTAGTGGGGGCGGAGACAGCGGGTGGGTGGAGCCTTAGTGGGGGCGGAGACAGCGGGTGGGTGGAGCCCTAGTGGGGGCGGAGACAGCGGGTGGGTGGAGCCTTAGTGGGGGCGGAGACAGCGGGTGGGTGGAGCCTTAGTGGGGGCGGAGACAGCGGGTGGGTGGAGCCTTAGTGGGGGCGGAGACAGCGGGTGGGTGGAGCCTTAGTGGGGGCGGAGACAGCGGGTGGGTGGAGCCTTAGGGGGGCAGAGACAGCGGGTGGGTGGAGCCTTAGTGGGGGCGGAGACAGCGGGTGGGTGGAGCCTTAGTGGGGGCGGAGACAGCGGGTGGGTGGAGCCTTAGTGGGGGCGGAGACAGTGGGTGGGTGGAGCCTTAGTGGGGCCAGTTACCCCACAGGTGTTACTCCCTGGGGCTCCGTGAGGACCCCGCCACACGGGATGATTCCGGGCCTATAAAACGGTTCTGGATTAAAACCAAAGCCCGCCACACAGGGTTCCTGTTTCACTCCGAAAGGCCAGAGGAAGAGACCCTGAAAGCCAGACCGTCTGCAGAGCTGGCCCAAAGCGCTCCTTTCCCGTCTCCTCTGAGTTCCTTTATGAAAACCAGCAGCAGGTACGCACCCCGGAGGATCCGAGGACGCGCTGGGCAGCCCCCTGGCAGAAAGGGCGTGCTGAGGGGCGGCCGGGGTCCCCGACGTCACTCAGGTCACGCCACAGCCCGTCCCCGTCCAGGCTGTCGGGGCCCGCACGTTACTCCCAGGCCTGACGGGCAGGGAGCTGCCCGCTGCGAAAGGAGGTGGTTCCCGGCCGAGGCCGAGGCCGAGGCCGGGCCGCCGGGAAAGTCGCTGGAACAAGTCCTGCTCCGAAGGGCCCTCACCCCAAGCCCTCCCTCCCCGCCCAGGCTCAGCCGGGAGCTCACCCAGACAGGCTGCAGTCCGAAACAGCCGGCAGGGGGAGCCGGGGCTCAGGAGACGGCTGGTGCCCTGTGCACCCCCAAGTTCTCATCCCAGCGTTTGGAGCCCCGCTGTGCTGCTGCTTCTGTCCACCCCCCCCACCTGCATCTCCTCCCTGCTGCCCACCTGCGCTGCCCACTGCGCTGCAGCTGGTGAAGGTGTTGCTGTGAGCGCTGGGGCTGTGGCCGACGAGGGCTTGTCCCAGGGCCTGGGCCTGAGGCCTGGAAAGCAGCATCGCCTGTGAGAGCCGGCAGCTGGGAGGGCGTTGGGAACTGGAGAGTGTGGGGCTGCGGGAATGGGTCACACCGGGCCGGGGAGAGCCCGGGGAGAGGCAGGAGCGCGCACCGTGTGTGTGTTCCTTTGACACTCGCTCCTCGTTCGTGTCCCTCATGCTGATCCGCCTTCACCCCCAGGGACAGACGTGTCCTCTGCTGGAACAGGTGCTGTGGACTCAGACACCCTCAGAAGCTTGGTCTTTATCATTATTATTTTAATCCTCTCCCAATGACATATTTATTTTTTATTAGTTTTTAGAGAGGGAGGGAGAGAGGAACATGAACTGGCTGCCCTCCCCACGCGCCCCGATTGGGGACTGAACCCGCAGAACGGGTATGTGCTCTGACCCCAGACCCTTAGGTGCTCCAGATGATGCTCCCACCCACTGAGCCGCACCGGCCAGGCTGACCCCTGGTCTTTCAATCAGGTTTACCAGGCACTTTCTGCCTCTTTTTGCTTCAGAGTTGTTTGTGTGTGTGTGGTGTGACTTTTTAATGAAGATCGTTACTGGGCCCGGACTGAGGTGACAAACAGCGCCCCCCCACGTCCATGACAAGAAGGGTCTATGTGGCGCCACAACGTGGCGGGGAGAGGTCTCGTTGCACCTGCAAAACGGTACCGAGCACCCTGACCATTTAGGTTGAGGCCAAAGGCCTGCTGTTTTAAGTGAAATAAAATAATTATGTTCCCTTTGCGTGTTTGGTAGTCGGACGGCCTGTGATGGGGGGAGGGGAGGCAGGGTGGCACCCACGGACCTGTGCAAGGGGGGCCTCCCCGGAACCTCCCACGTGGGGGCCTGGACGTGGTGTCTGGATCCTTCCCTGTGCGGACGAGGAGTCAGGTAGGCGGGGACATGGCTTTAGAACACAGGCCCAGGCCCTGTCCCCAGGGTACCAACAGGCCCGAGTCCCAGGGACCCACGGCTTGGGGCCAGACTCTCAGGAGGGGACACCCCAGGGTTGCGTCCTCCCAGCATGCCTCTGTAGGTCCTCCCAGCGGCAGCTCCAGGCTTGGGGGTCAGGGACAGCGGGCCACACGGCTCTTCCGTGAGGGCAGCGCCTGGTTCTGAGCGGGTCTGTCCAGCCCACGCAGCCCCCCTTCCAGTCTCTTTTTTCCTCTTCGTTAACTGCTATATCCTGTGTACTTTGCTCCTCCAAAAATGCCACTTGGTCATTTGTTCTACCTTCTGGGTTTTGTGAAGTTAAAAATACATTAACTGTCAAGAGAAGGAGAAGACAGGCCACGGACGGAGAAAATATTTGCAAAAGACACAGCAGCGTGTCTCCATGAGAGGGTACCCGTGGAGAGGCACACGCAGGCTCTGCTCTGATGTGGTACATGTGTCCCTGGAGAACCATGCATCCTCCCCTGTGGTGTATAGAAACAGCAGGGATGCAGGGAAAACTGGGGTTGAGGCAGGCCACTCGGATCCGTGCAAGTTCTTAACCAGAATTCGAACAAAAACAAGTGCTGTTTAATGAAGTCAGCAGCCGGGGGAAGTCTCCACTGATCTTCACACCCAGAATCTCGGGGGTCCATACTTTCTCCTTTAAGATGAGGGTCTTTAGGCCGTTCATTCCCAAGAGAGAACCCTTTCTTGCCGGGGTTCTTGTCCCAGCATTCAGAAGGGTTCAGCAATCTGGAGAAAGGCTGTGTGTAGATGAAGTAGGAGTCCAGAGATGGAAGATCGTTTTGAAAGGCATTGGGGGTCAGAGGAGCTTCGGCTAAAGGGGCTAAAGATTTCCCTTGACTCAGGACCCTTGCTTTTTATTAACACAATTTGTCCTAAGGCAAGGTGGAGATAATACACTTCAAAGGGTAGGGTTTCTGCCTACAGAGTCCATTGTCAGAATCCCCAATGACATTTGACAATGACAATGACATTCCTGCAGCTGGTCAGGTGTTTGGCCAGGAGGAGGCAGTAACATGTAGGTTAAGATGCCCTGAGCTGTCTGGCAGCAGACAATCATCCTATTCAGGTTTGGGGGAAGTGCCTTTCCAGCCGTTCCAACAGGACTCTGCCCTTGTTGAGCCCCCAAGTTTCATCAACCTTTTGTTGAAACTCTTGTAATGATGACATGCTGGAATTGGCTCCTGGCACTTTCATCAAAAAGTTAAACATGACCCAGGCCACAGTCAATGAAAATGTCTTCACAGCTTCTCCAAGGGTTAAGCTCCCTCCCCGTTTCTGTCCTAACAGGTTTTCAGGCAAATGCTTGATGGTTCTATCAGTGAGAATCAGGCTCAGCTGCAAGCGACAGGAAACAAAATGGAGGAGCATTTCGTGTTGAATTCAGGCAGTGGTCTTGGGCTGACATAGTGCCCCATAGGGCAGGGGACCCAGGCTCCTACTGTCTTGTTGCTCTGTTCTGTGTGGCCTCAGCCATGTGGTCAATGCCGGGGGCACCCTCATTTTAGGCAGCAGTGGTGGAGAAAGGGGCAGAGAAGAGAGCAAGGTTCCTGGAAGCCTCCACATGTGGCACCTTGGCATATGTGGCAATAGACAGAACCAATTCATGCCACCTAAGTCCCCGGATAATGGGGAGAGGCAGTCTTTATTTCGGACAGCTGCAGGCTCTGCCCCAGATAATTCCGTTACGATTGGAGAGGGGCTGAGCAAATGGAATTGGGGAGCCACAGCAGTCTACAACTGAAGCCCATGGCAAAACTTTAAAATTCCAGAACATTCCTAAGTAGAGGTGAGACCACCGGTGACCTGAAGTGCTGGCACCATTGTCTGGTCTCAAAACAACCCAGGGATGGCCAGTCTGCTGTGAGGTGCTAATTCAACATGTTACATTCTGGTTAAATTTTCCTATGTAAACTTCTTTCAATTCTGAAACAGCTTCAATTTAAAATATATATATATATTTTTTTCCTTTTCATTTTATTCCAGCACTAATCTGGAAATTCTCTTATTTCCCCTCCGCATCATACTGTCAGTCACCAAGTTCCATCAACTTTACATCCTCTCTCTCAAATGTGTCCTCTGATCTCCTGCACCCTCATCTGCCAGCATTTCTACAGCAAGGAACTGCCCCCTTTCCTCTCCCCGAAACCCACCCGCCTCTTGTTCCCCTCGAGGGTTGGCTAGCCTTTAAAAACACAAACCTGAACACTCTCCAGAGCTCTTAACGCCTTCTCTCTGCTCCTTAACAAGACCCACAAGGGCGAACTGGAGTCCGGCCCCGCCCCCCTCACCAGCTTCCTCTCCCTCCACTCTTCCTCTCTGCTCTGTGTTCTTGAGCCACACCGACCTTACAATTTCTTTAACACATTTTTATTGGTTTCAGAGAGGGAGGGAGGGAGAGAGGCATCAACGATGAGAGAGAATCATGGAGAGAGAGAGAGAAGCATCAATGATGAGAGAATCATGGACCAGCTGCCACCTCCTGGGGATCCAGTGTGCAACCTGGGCCTGTGCCCTGACTGGGAATCGAGCCTTGACCTCCTGGTTCAGAGGTGGAAGCTCAACCACTGAGCCACACCGGCCGGGCTGACCTTACAATCTCTTGACGGCATCACACTCTCTTCTACCACAGGGCCTTGGCACCAACTGTTCCCTGTCTGGGAGGCTCTCTCTAGGGCCCTGTCCCCTACCCCCTTTGCCTGGGTAAGATCTGCATCCTTCCTTCCCAGCCCGGCTCAAGCTCGCTTTTCTAAAGAAGCCTTTCTTGACCACCTCCACTGGTTCCCGGCCTTCGGAGCCCGTGTGTAGTTGTAAATTCACCGATGTGCTTATTTGACCAAGTAGTGTCTCCTCTTGCAGAGCTAAGTCGCAGGAGGCCAGGGCTGTTTTTGTCCTTTGCGCCCAGTCGCACCCCCCTCTGCCACAGTAACAGGCTCCGTAAAATAAATGTCAGCCTATGCGAGAGCTCGAGTCATCCGGAACCCCGCGTCCCAGCAGAACCACTGCTTCCAGATTCTGGCAGGTCCTCTCCAATCGTGTGCTGACACATTTACGTCTCATAACATAGTAGATGCCAGTAATAAATAGTGAGAGCGGTTTGGGAGTGGAGATCTGAGGCCCGTATCTCCTCAGGTCAGAATCCTCGGTGAGCAAGGGCGCTCGGCCGGGCTTTCCCCACTGGGAGGTCAGCGAGAGGACCTAAGGCGGTCCCTCTGGGAAAGAGGAGCCCTAAGACGATGGCACCCTAAGATGGCGTCCCCGGGGTGGATCACTGTGGGGGGCGGGGAAGGAAAAGTCCAGAAGGCCTTGCTGGAACCAGGTGTGGCCCCTGCAGTTATCCACTGTCCCCTGGACTTGAAAAATGATTCTTTGGCCCTGACCAGTGTGGCTCAGTGGATAGAGCGTCGGTCTGTGGACTGAAAGGTCCCAGGTTCGATTCTGGCCAAGGGCATGTACCTTGGTTGCAGGCACATCCCCAGTGGGGGGTGTGCAGGAGGCAGCTGGTCGGTGTTTCTCTCTCATCGATGTTTCTGATTCTCTGTCCTCCCTTCCTCTCTGTGAAAAATCAATAATATATATATATATATATTTATCTTTTAAAGAAAAAGAAAAATGATTCTTTGGCTCCCATCAGAGGTCGTTTCAAAACACAAGTCAGTTCCCTGGAAATAGGAACACGCGTTCCTGGGACACCCTGGGCCTGCTATGGGGCTGCACACCCAGGCCCGGGCTAGTCACTGCCTTGTGAGTCCCGGGGAACTGCGAGGCAGAATCCCTTCCCCCAGCCCGTCCCTCTGGGCCGCGGGGGACAGAGGTGGGGGCGGGGGGGAAGGGAGGGCCTCAGGCCAGGTCGCGGGAGGGGCAGAGACCCCGCAGGCTCTGGCTCCGGTGGGTAGGAAACCAGCATGAAAGTTCTAGAAACCAAAACAGCACGTGCGGGGTCGAGCCGGACCGCACCCCAGGCCAGCGGGCGCAGGGCCTGGAAGGAGCGGTGGGGACCCCCTCCCCCGCCTCCGATCAGGGGCCAGCCCGCCCCCGCCCGCTGCCCGGAGCCTCTGGCCCCCGCAGGCCTCCTGGGCCCGGGCCGGGCTGGGGCTGCGGGGTCCCCCCGAGGCTCCTGGGCGGAGGAGCCGCCGCGCCGCCCCCGATCCTCGCCCCGCGCCCCGCGCCCCGGCGGGGACCGCATCGCCGCCCCCGGCCCGCGCGCCGCCGGCCGCAGGCGTTGGTGACGACAGCGCGGGGCTCCCTGGGCGGCAGGAGAGGTACCGCCGCCGCCCGGAGGGGCCCCTGGGCCTGGCTCCCGTGGGGAAGGGGAGGCGGGGGGAGGGTGGGGCGGTCTGCATCCCCGTCACCCCCACCGGGCGCGGCTCCCCACGGGCCAGGCGCGGGAGGCGGGGAGGACGTGGGCGGAGGCGGGTGTTCCGGTGTCCCCCCCACTCCCTCCGCCGGCCTGACTTCTGCAAACGTGGGACCCTGGTTTGTGTTTGCACCCCTGTGTCCGCCCCTGCCCTCCCCGATGGCCGACCGGAAGTGCATTTTCCCTGGAGAAGTTTTAAAACTCTTCCAGACAATTGCCAGCCTGGGGCCTTCCCAAGCTTTAGGTGGAAATCGTCTTCAGGCTGGTCTGTCCTCCCTTTTATTTGTTTATTAGACATACGTTTATTGATTTCAGAGAGGAAGGGAGAGGGAGAGAGAGAGAGAAACATCAATGATGAGAGAGAATCATTCATGGATCAGCTGCCTCTGCACACCCCACACTGGGGATCCGTCTGCAGCCCCTGAGTGGGAATCAAACTGTGACCTCTTGGTTCATAGATTGATGTTCAGCCACTGAGCCATGCCTGCCGGGCCAGTCCTCCCTTTTAAATAGGGACATAGGGACCACCCACCCTGCAACACACACACACACACACACACACACACACACACGCACACATGCACGCACACTCGCGCGCACACAGGCACACACTCACACAGGCACACACTCACACAGGCACACACTCACACAGGCACACACACACACAGACACACGCACATTCTCACACACAGGCACACACACACACATACACGCACACTTGCATACACACAGGCACACACACACAGGCACACACGCACACAGGCACACACACAGGCACACACACACAGGCACACGCACACAGGCACACGCACACAGACACGCACATTCTCACACACACAGGCACACACGTGCGCACACACATGCACACACACAGGCACACGCAGGCACCGGAGTTACTACACTGTCACCTGTCACCCTCTTCACAGTCCCCCGCTCGGCGGAGCCCCACCACAATCCCCATGGTTGCTGCTGAGGCCGGAGATGCGCCCGACCCCCAGGTAGGTCACTGGAGGGCGAAGGAGGCGAAGCCATGGCCGGAGGGATGGCGCTGTGCGCACGCGGGTGCTGTCCTGGCACAGGCCGTGCGTGTGCAGCCGCCGGGACTTTGCTCTGGGTTTTGGCCGGGCCGCTGAGCACGTGCCCGCAGGGGCCTGGCGCTGGCCTGGCCGCGTGGAGCACCCAGACCAGCCGCCGTGACTCGCCCTCCTTGCCCTGCTGATAACGGGCTCGGAAAGATTTGATTGCATGTTCAATAGTGATCGTTACACGGAGAATAGTGGCTTGGGCCGCTTCTGAAGGAAAATAAACCTCCGAGGAAGTGCTGCGGGGCAGAGGGCCCAAGCTGAGCCCCGGGTAGAGACGGGGGCGGTGGGGGGGGGGGGAGGGGGCGGGGAAGCGGGGGAGAGGGGGCTGGCTGCCTGGCAGGGACCACTTCCTGCAGCCACTCTGGCTCCCTTGACCAGGGCTGAGGGGATGGCAGCTCTTGCTTTCTTCCCATGCGTTTGTGACAGAAATAACCCTCCAGCCACTCGCCCCGGGCCTGGCTGTGGGGACCGCAGACCGTGTGCCCACCAGGAAGGCGGCTGGGTGTGGCCATGTGCCAGCTTGCCGGGCCTGTGAAGGAGAAGTGAGAGGAGGCAGCCCGGGTTCCGGAAAGGGTTACTGGGCTCGGCTATAAAACCGCGGTTGGATTGGCCAGGACCTGACGGGCCAAAGTGCAGCAGGTTCCCTGTCTCCGCAGAGCCTCCACTGTCCTGGCTGAGAGCGAGTGAGCGGAACGGCTTCCCCAGCGAGGATGGAGGAGAAGGAGAGCAAGACCAAGAGGGAAGGGGTAAGTGGCTTCCGGCGAGGGTGGGGAGCAGCCCCCGGCGGGCAGCCTTGCCGGGGGCCTCCTGGGAGCTCGGGCTGGGGGAGCCCTGTTTCGGGTGACCTGCCCTCACTGGTCACCCAGCATCCAGGCTTTTTCGGGGACTAGAGAAGGGAGGCGTTTGGGGCGTTGGGATCTGCGATCCTTTGGGAATCGTGCTGCTGGAGCAGCTTGACAAGTACCTGCAGCCAAATTGAAGGGACTCGGGGGGGTTCGTTTGTCCCAACTCCCTTCACCACAAGAAGCTGAGGTGTAGGGACCCCAAAACCAGCCACAAACCCCTCAGACATGGCTGGTGAGGGGCTTTCCACTCTTGTTTTGATTTTGGCGTCAGACTTTTACAGTGAACCTTTTCAGCAGGTAACATAAAGACGCAGAGAAGATGCTGCGAGAGTTGAATGTAATCATCGGAAAGTTGAAAGACCATCGGAAAACACAGATATTTACATTACGATTCATAACAGTAGCAAAATGACAGTGATGAAGTAGCAACGGAAATAATGTTATGGCTGGGGGTCCCCACAACAAGAGGAGCTGTATTAAAGGGCCGCGGCATTAGGAAGGTTGAGAACCCCTGCTCTGAAGGTCTAACAGCAGGTCCAGAAAAACCTTTGTCTAAAAGAAAAGGGGGGGGGTCGTCTCATCATCTAAAAGGGAGTCTCCGCTGCAGGTGTGAATTGCATTCAACTCTCGCAGCATCTTCTCTGCGTCTTTATGTTACCTGCTGAAAAGGTTCACTGCAAACGTCTGACGCCAAAATCAAAACAAAAGAGGAAAACCCCCTCACCTGCCATGTCTGAGGGGTTTGTGGCTGGTTTTGGGGTCCCTACACATCAGGTTCTTGTGGTGAAGGGAGTTGGGACAAACGAACCCCCCGAGTTATGAAGTAGCAACGAAAATAATTTTATGCCTGGGGGTCACCACAACACGAGGAACTGCATTAAAGGGCCACGGCATTAGGAAGGTGGAGAACCGCTGTTTTATGGCCTCTTGCTGGAGGAAAATGCGTAGGCAGACAGGTAATATACATTTATGAATGCTTTTCAGGCCTTGTATTTTGTTCACCACAGCAGCGTATGCTTATATTTATGGGAGGAGCAGTCTGTAGCTGGGCAGATTATTGTTCATTCGGTTACGATGGCGAGACCCTGGCCACAGGCGGTTCGGAGCACGCTCTGTGCGGGAGGTAGAGGCACCTGGAATTCATTCCTGCTCTGGGTGGGGACTTGGGCAAGTTCTGTAACTGCTCTGCGCCCCAGTCTTCTCATCTGTAAAGTGGGTATAATAATCATGCCATCGCCTTGGGCTGCTGGGACCGTTACATGGCAGAGTGCATGTAAATGACCTGTCACACAGTGGATTTCTCATATGTGTCCTGACTTTCTGGTCATCGTTTAGAGCAGGGCACTGCTGACCTCTGGGCCGGGTGAATCTCCGCTGTGGGGGCTCCCTGGGTGCTGGGGGTGATGGGCGGGGACGGGAGGGGACGGGAGGGGGTGGGGGGAGCACCCCTGGTCTCCCTCCCCGGCCGCCAGTGGCACCCCGTCCCAAGGAGAACCACTGCTTCCGAGATCTCGACACCTGGATTATCTTGTCTGATTCCCACAACTAAGGCAGTGCTGGTCCTGTGAGCCCTGCTGCTCTATCGAAAAGGGACTGGAGGCCACGAGGACTGAGGGGTCTGGGGAGGTCACGGGAGGCCCTGGTCTGGCCTCTGTCCCCTCTTCCAAGAGCAATGCACCGCCCAGGCGTGCCCCCAGGTGAGTGCCCAACATGGAAACGCCCCCGCCTGGTGGTGCCTGAAAGGGAACATTACATCGGAAGAAATCATTAACATGTCCACAGGCAAAAGGTATTGGCCATCACAGCTTCCTGCCCCCTGGGTTCTCCGGGGAAGGAGGCCTCCAGCCCCCAGGGCAGAGCAGCGCCCCACCCCCACCCCCACCCCCCAGGGCCGCCTGAGGGTGGACCTACCCCTTTGGGCACGAGCTGAGCTTCCTGGGAGAAATCAGAGCAAAGCTCTTCCACAGGTGACTCATTGTAAGATTCTGCAAATGATTAAGCCCAGCGGAGGGCAGTTTGGGAGCCAAGGAGCAGGGAGGGCCCGGCGGGTGGAGGCTGCAGGGAGCTGGCCTCTGGGTCCTCATATGTAAGGAGAGAAGCATCCCTCTGATGGGCCTCAGGGACTTCCTGCCAGGAAAGACTTTTAGCCAAAAGAAAACAATAACGTGGGTTAGAAGAGAAACGCCTAAGTGCTTTGGAAATGAGAGTGCATGTTTTGTGTGTGTGGAGGGACCCCCCCTCTTTCCTCCCCCCCCCCCCAACACAGTAGTTCAATGACATTGAGCGAGCAGCTTTCCCGCGGTCCTCCCTGTTAATGATTAGCGGCATAGGTGTGGCTGAGCGTTTTATTCGCCGGGCGGAGCCGTGGGTTATGCTGACAATAAAGAGCTCGGTGCCAAGCGAGCTGGGGACACGTGAGCACTTATGAGATCGTGCCGAGTGCCTGTGCCGCTCGCCGTGTCCTGGCTAACCAGGCTCACGGCTCCTCACGGCCGGCAGGGCGTTCCCCGAACCAACAACCGCCAGCCTCCCTCTGCCCGTCCCTGCATCTGGCCTCCTTCATCCTCTTTCTTTTTAACCCTCACTGAGGACATTTCCCCCATTGGTTTCCAGAGAGAGAGGAATGAAGGGAGGAGGGGGAGAGAGAGAGAGAGAGAGAGAGAGAGAGAGAGAGAGAGAGAGAGAGAGAGAGAGAGAGACATGGACGTGGGGAACCTGCGATCGATGTACGTGCCCTTGACAGGGAACCTAAGCCAAGACCGTGAGGGCCACAAGCTGGCACTCTGACCACTGAGCTAACCGGCCAGGGATGAACTCATGTATTCTTCACATCAACCCTGTGAGGAAGGCAGTGTCCGGGCCCAGCCCAGTCAGCAGATCCTCTCTGCAGCCGGGTGCTTTTCCAACTCATCCTTGCAATACCTCTGGGGGTGTTCCCATCCTTGTCATTTTAAAGACGAGGAAACTGCCCTGGCTGGTGTGGCTCACTGGTTGGAGCACCAACCCGGACATCATCCTGGGTGGAGGGTTTGATTCCTGATTGGGGCCCATGCCCCGGTAGCAGATTCAATCCCCAGTTGGGGCTAATGTGAGAGGTGGCCTGATTGATGTTTCTCACACTGATGTTTCTCTCTCTTTCTCAAATCGATAAAATAAATTAAAAAAAAAAAAGATTAAACTGAAGCTGGTGGAAATTAAGCTAGAGGGTGGCAGTGGCAAATCCAAAATGAGATCTGCAGAGTCTCAGAGCAAAGTTCTTGCCGCCTCATTCTTCTCCGCTCGGCACGAGGGACCGCCTGAGATGGAGGCTCAGTTTCCGCGCGTGTCAAGGGCTGTGTGTGTGTGTGTGTGTGTGTGAGGGGCTGTGTGTGTGTGTGTGTGTGTGTGTGTGTGTGTGTGTGAGGGGCTGTGTGTGTGTGTGTGTGTGTGTGTGTGTGTGAGGGGCTGTGTGTGTGTGTGTGTGTGTGTGTGTGAGGGGCTGTGTGTGTGTGTGTGTGTGTGTCAGGGGCTGTGTGTGTGTGTGTGTGTGTGTGTCAGGGGCTGTGTGTGTGTGTGTGTGTGTGTCAGGGGCTGTGTGTGTGTGTGTGTGTGTGTGTGTGAGGGGCTGTGTGTGTGTGTGTGTGAGGGGCTGTGTGTGTGTGTGTGTCAGGGGCTGTGTGTGTGTGTGTGTGTGTGTGTGAGGGGCTGTGTGTGTGTGTGTGTGTGTGTGAGGGGCTGTGTGTGTGTGTGTGTGTGTGAGGGGCTGTGTGTGTCAGGGGCTGTGTGTGTGTGTGTGTGTGTGTGTCAGGGGCTGTGTGTGTGTGTGTGTGTGTGTGTGTCAGGGGCTGTGTGTGTGTCAGGGGCTGTGTGTGTGTGTGTGTGTGTGTGTGAGGGGCTGTGTGTGTGTGTGTGTGTGTGTGTGAGGGGCTGTGTGTGTGTTAGGGGCTGTGTGTGTGTCAGGGGTTATGTGTGTGTGTCAGGGGCTGTGTGTGTGTCAGGGGCTGTGTGTGTGTCAGCGGCTGTGTGTGTCAGGGCTGTGTGTGTGTGTCAGGGGCTGTGTGTGTGTCAGGGCTGTGTGTGTGTGTCAGGGGCTGTGTGTCAGGGGCTGTGTGTGTGTCAGGGGTGTGTGTGTGTCAGGGTCCCCAGCTTCTCCCTGCGCCCTCTGCCTGTTTCAGCAAAGGTGCAGGGGCTCAGGGACCTGCTCGTGGTCCTGACTCGTTTAAATCGCTCGCATTTCTAGGGCTGCTGGCAATGGCAGCCACGCCGCAGGATGCAGGGAAGCGATTCAGACACTAGATGGGGTGCTTCCGACCCAATGCATCTCATCGGGGGGCAATCCCCGCTCCGAGGCAGTTAGCAATGTCTGGAGACATTAGGGTTGTCCAGATGGGGGAGGGGAAGCCTGTCCTAACCCCAGGGAGCAGAGGGCGGGTGTCAGGACCAGGGAGCCGATGACAGACGCAGATCTTCCGGTGCCGGTCCGTCTCCCTCCAAGACGTGGAGCCTGATCGGGACCCCTCAGCCCCCTGACCTCACCATGACCTCCCCTCCGCAGAAGCTGACGCCGGTTCTTGCCTTCGCAACGCTGATCTCGGCCTTCGGGTCCTCCTTCCAGTACGGGTACAATGTGGCTGCCATCAACTCCCCTTCCCGGGTAGGTCTCTGCAGGGGCGGGACCTGGCCCCACGACCCAGGGAGGCGGGTTGGAGCAGCCCGGGCCCGGGAGGCACCAGGGTGGGACTGCCCACACGGAGGGCACACAACGGGTCCTGGAGGAAAGGGGGCTGGTGGGCACAGGATCGGGGACGAGCCAGGGCCCAGGCCTGGCTGGACCCTCGTGGGGCTGGCCTTGCCATCCATGGTGGAGTCCGGAGCAGCAGGGATCACCCACTGAGCTGGGGGACCGGAGTCCCTCCTCTCTGGTGTTAGAAACATCCGGGCAGTTTTTCTCCCAGAGGCCTCGAGCCCTCCCCAGGGGGCCTCTGCTCCTCACCGTTAATACAGCGTCGTCCTCCCGCTTTCATGCACCTACCAACGTCCTTATCTGTGTGCCAGGCTGTCCCCTGTGGGCCCAACAGCTTACGTAGCTCTCTCTGCAAACCGGGTCACTCCACTCGGGCCCTCTGTTTTGCTTCCCTCTGCAGTTCATGCAAGAATTTTACAACGAGACCTACTATGATCGGAACACCGACTACCTGAGCGACTTCTCCCTGAAGCTGCTGTGGTCCCTCTCCGTGTCCATGTTCCCCTTCGGAGGCCTCATCGGGTCCCTCATGGTCGGCTTCCTGGTGAATAAGTTTGGGAGGTAAGCGAGGTGACCTTCCAGCTCCGCAGAGCTTATACTCCCTGTCGGAGCCTAAGACCTAGCCTCACGGGAAACCCTCCCTGTACGGGCGGCGAAGCCACGGAGGTGACTCTGGCTTCCCACGTGGTCTTCAGACCGGACATCGGCCGCACGTTGGGGCTGTAGGCCCGGTCTTGGGGCTGAGGAGGAGGGGGCATGTCCCCGGCTCCGGGCGGATACGGAGCGAGCAGAGCGCGTCCAGGCCAGGCCGCCTCTCTCCCGCCGTCTCTGCTCCCCAGCCTGGAAGGTTGTCGTGTTTGGTGGTTTTGTACAAAACCCAAACTGAGATCTCTCCTCCTCCTCCTCCTCCTCCTCCTCCTCTTCTTCTTCCCCTTCCCCTTCCCCTTCTCCTTCTTATTTATTTATTTATTTATTTATTTATTTATTTTTGCCTTTGGAACAGTCAAAACCTCAGATGACATGGCCAAGAGGTCAGTCCCAAGGTACAGCTTGGTAAGGTGACCAGATCATCCCGCTTTTGGCGGGACAGTCCCGATTTCTAACAGAGTTAGAAACATCGATCAGCTGCCTCTTGCACATCCCCTACTGGGGATGTGCCCGCAACCAAGGTACACGCCCTTGACTGGAATCAAACCTGGGATTCAGTTCGCAGGCCAATGCTCTATCCACTGAGCCAAACCGATTTTGGTTAATTTACAGTTTTTTACTTTTGTTTTGTTTTTAAATATATTTTATTGATTTTTACAGAGAGGGAGAGTTAGAATCATTGATCAGCTGCCTCCTGCACACCCTCCTCTGGGAATGTGCCCTCAACCAAGGTACATGCCCTTGACCGGATTCAAACCTTGGACCCTTCAGTCCACAGGCCAATGCTCTACCCACCGAGACAAACTGGTTAGGGTGTCCGTGTTAATTTTTAAATCATTTTATCAAAATCTATGAAAAAGATTTCATGTTTGTCGTAGGATTTTAGGAGACTTCACCTTTATCAGCTTACAGAAGTTCTATTTATAGTTTGTTAATGCTGTGGTTTTTTTTTAACTACATATATATATGTGTGTGTGTGTGTGTGTGTGTGTGTGTGTGTGTGTGTATAATTGATTTTTTACAGAGAGGAAGGGAGAGGGATAGGTATTTAGAAACATTGATGGGAGAGAAACATCAACAAACTGCCTCCTGCACACCTCCTACTGGGGATGTGCCCGCGACCGGTACATGCCCTTGACCGGAATCGAACCTGGGACCCTTGAGACACTCTATCCACTGAGCCAAACCGGTTAGGGCTAATGCTATTTGTTTGTTTTTTATTATAATATCAAATTTTAAGGACTTCTTTTGCAGCTTCAATTGATAATCTTATATTTTCTCTAGGATAACCTTTTTAAAAATATATTTTTTTTTTATTGATTTCAGAGAGGAAGGGAGGAGAGAAAAACGAATGATGAGAGAGAAACATTAATCGTCTGCCTCCTGTACGGGGCATTTGGGGATTGAGTCCACAACCCAGGCATATGCCCTTGACCAGAATTAAATCCGGTCCCTTAAGTCTGCAGGCTGACACACTACCCACTGAGCCAAACCAGCTAGGGCTCCAGGATAATCTTTAATGTGGTGTCTATATATGCCAAAGAATTCCATCAAAGACTTTTGCATCTATGTTGACAAGTGAGGTTGGCTCATACTTTTCTTCTAATGTTCTTACCCAGTTGGGTTTTCAGATTATACCCAAATCATGTCAGTCTGTGATTGCAAAACCTTTACTGTATTGATACTGGATACTGCTGTCACCAGGCACACACTTGACCAAACTGGTTTTTACTTTTGTTTTTAAAGTATTGATTTTTTAGAAAGAGAGGAAGGAGGGGAGAGAGAGAGAAACACTGATTTGTTGTCTACTTACGGATGCATTCACCGGTTGCTTCCTGCATGTGCCGTGACCGGAGTCGGGGCCCCCAGCCGTGGTGTATTGGGACGATGTTCTCACTAGCTGCGCTGCCCGGCAGGGCCCGGCCTGGCTGACGTGCTGTCTCTTGCAGGAAGGGGACCTTGCTGCTGAACAACGTCTTCTCCATCGGGCCCGCCATCCTGATGGGGTCCAGCGAAGTGGCCGGCTCCTTTGAGATCATCATCGTGGCCAGGTTGCTGGTGGGCATCTGTGCGGGTAAGCCGGGCGGCTGCGCTGCCGAGCCGGGACCGACAGCCACCACGAGGCGCGAGGACGCCATGCCAGGGTCTCTGAGGCCCGACGCGCGGTGGTCCCTCCGAGGGTGCTGTGTGAGCCAGGCTCGAACCCTCCGCCTGGCCCGGGGTCCGGCTCCAGTGTGGACAGTGGGCGGGCCTCCCCTGTGATGTTTCTGCGAAGCAAGCTGGTCTTTGAAAGACTGAGGCTCCGGATCTTAGCTTCCGGAGGGTCCTTCCACCCCAGTCCTTCCCTGTGTTCTCAGCAGCAGTCGGGACCAGCGAGGGGGTGATGACAGCTGTTGAGAGAGCCATGTTTCTGTGTGTGTGTGTGTGTGTGTGTGTGTGATTGTTAATCCTCACCCGAGGATATTTTTCCTTTGATTTTTAGAGAGAGTGGAAGGGAGGGGGAGAGATGGAGCAAAACATCAGTGTGAGAGAGACACATGGATTGGCTGCCTCCGACACGTGCCCCGACCAGAGGGCACCCAGGTGTGTGCCCTTGACCAAAATCAAACCCGGGACCCTTCAGTCGGAGGGGCGACGCTCTATCCACTGAGCCACACGGGCTCGGGGCGTGAGTGACATTTTGTTTAACTGGAGTCCACTGACTCACTCTCTTTTTGAAGCATTGGTCCCGGCTCTCTGTCTGCACCGGAGACCCAGGCTGCCGTGTGAAATGTATTTCTGTGGCTTTAACGAGGGCTGTGGCCAGAGCAGCTTGAGGAATGACCCAGGGCCTGGGTGCCTCTAACGGAAGGAGTAAACGATAGCAGCCTCTCTACTTTTATAAAGAACTGAGAGTTTGCAAAGGGCTGATCATGGCTTCTATCTCTCTCCCTCCCTCCACGCCCACCTGCTGGGCAGGGGAAGGGCCCGCCCACCGTGGGAACCTGCAGCTGCTTTGCAAACCCCGCGGAGCTGGGCCGCCCAGGCTGTGCTGCTGGCGGCTCTGGGGAGCTCCCTGCAGTAAGGTGACCAGACGCCCCACTTTTTTTTAAAATCGGGACTGTCCCGCCCAAAGCGGGGTGTCTGGTCACCTTACCCTACAGTGGCTTCCGACTGCAGAGGGGCGGGGAGAGCCCGCAGGGGCCTCCCTCGAGCCCATGCTCTCCGGTGGGCAGTACAGTGAAGAGGCACCTCACTTATCTGCTCCCTCTGCCCTGGCACTGCCAAGTAACAGCTTCTCCTTCCAAACCGTGTGGCCAGTGTCCTCGAACCCCTTTACCTGCGGTTGACGAGCAGCGGGGAGACTTGAGGCTTCTCTTCTCGGAGACCAAGCCGTTAGCGGGAGGCCCGAAGCCAGGCCGGCTCTGCTCGCAGGCGGCACCCTCCTCCCTCCAAGCTCAGAGGAGGAATCAGAAGGGGCGTGTGCCCACCTGGGCGGGTTTCGGGAGGTTTCAGCCCAGGCACGCGGCCGCCAAGTCAGAGCACGCGTGCCGGAGTCCGCGGCCTGGCCCCGCCACCCCAGGCCTCCCTGATCCTGTGTCCTCTCGCCCTCCTCCAGGCCTGTCTTCCAACGTCGTCCCGATGTACCTGGGGGAGCTGGCCCCCAAGAACCTGCGGGGGGCGCTGGGGGTGGTGCCCCAGCTCTTCATCACCGTGGGCATCCTCGCGGCCCAGATCCTGGGCCTCCGGAACGTCCTCGCCAACGAGAAAGGTGAGCGCGGCCGCCCCGGGCTCGGCGCCCCTTGGCCGCCGGCGGACGGCGTTCTGCGGGCCGGGCTCTCCTCTCTGCTCAGCCGGCCCCCCTCCGAGTCCCTCCGGCCCCCACGCGGCCCTGGCCCCAGAGGTGCTGGTCCAGCCCAGCGGCTGACGTGTTCTAGTCCCTCTTGGGACCCGGTGAGGTGGCTTGCTCCCGGCCCAGTGGTGGGTCCGAGGCAGAGTCTGTGTTCCATTTCTGGGCTTTCTGCAGCGGGGCCCCCGGCGAGGTCCGCAGAGCCAAACACCAACAGGACAGCGATGGGCATTTCTTTGGAGAGCCACGTTTTTTTAAACTGAAACTTCTTCAGTATAGACTCGCCCAGGCCGTGGTGTTTTGTGGAAGAGCCACACTCAAGGGGCCAGAGAGCTGCGGGTGGCTCCTGAGCTGCGGTTTGCCGACCCCGGGGGTAGGCGATGGCGCCTGAGTCTGGCTTCCTTGCCGGGTGGCCCGGCCCAGCAGGACGGGGGGTCAGAGCTGAAGGGCCCAGCACCCCAGCTCCTGCCGGCCTGTCCTGCAGGGTCGCCACGTGTCCACACGGCCGTGGGCACCTGCCCGTTGCCCACATCCTCGCCAGCACTTGGCGTGTCGGCTTTTCCCTTTGCCCCCGGCAGGTGGGTGCGGGTGGTCATCACCGTCCCTCTTGTCCGTGTCCGCAGGGTGTTGGTCAGCGCCCTCCTGGGTGCTGGGGACGCGGGAGAACCTGTCCGGGTGATGGGGCGGCATGGCCTGCTGGGTGCTGGGGGCTGGGTGGTGGGGGGCTGGGTGCTGGGTGATGGGGGGCTGGGTGCTGGGTGATGGGGGGCTGGGTGGTGGGGGGCTGGGTGCTGGGTGATGGGGGGCTGGGTGCTGGGTGATGGGGGGCTGGGTGCTGGGGGCTGGGTGGTGGGGGGCTGGGTGCTGGGTGATGGGGGGCTGGATGCTGGGTGATGGGGGGCTGGGTGCTGGGTGCTGGGGTGCTGGGTGCTGGAGGGCTGGGTGTTGGGTGCTGGGGGGCTGGGTGCTGGGTGCTGCGTGTTGGGGGCTGGGTGCTGGGGCTGGGGCTGGGGTGAGAGGCGGGTCCGTGGCCGAGCTGAGCATGGCGCCCGCCCCTGCAGGCTGGCCCATCCTCCTGGGGGTGACCGGCATCCCGGCGGCCGTGCAGCTCCTGCTGTTGCCCGTCTTCCCCGAGAGCCCACGCTACCTGCTGGTCCAGAGGAAGGACCTCGAGGCGGCCAGGAAGGGTGAGGCCCCCGGGGGAGGGGGGTCCGGGCCGCAGTGTCCCTGCTCTGGGGAGGCTGCAGCCCTGCTCAACGCCCACCCCCCCAGCCCTGCGGCTGCTGCGCGGCTGGGACTTCGTGGAGGACGAGGTGGAGGAGATCCGGCAGGAGTACGAGGCGGAGCAGGCCGCCGGCTTCATCTCGGTGGTGAAGCTGTTCCGGATCCGCTCCCTGCGCTGGCAGCTCATCTCCATCGTGGTGCTCATGGCCGGCCAGCAGCTGTCCGGCGTGAACGCGGTACGGCGGCCGGGGTGGGGGGCGGCCGGGGTGGGGGGCTGTCTGGGGGGGCGGCCGGGCTGGGGGGGCTGTCTGGGGGGGCGGCCGGGCTGGGGGGCTGTCTGGGGGGGCGGCCCGGGTGGGGGGCTGTCTGGGGGGGCGGCCAGGGTGGGGGGCTGTCTGGGGGGGCGGCCCGGGTGGGGGGCTGTCTGGGGGGGCGGCCGGGCTGGGGGGGCTGTCTGGGGGGGCGGCCCGGGTGGGGGGCTGTCTGGGGGGCCGGCCCGGGTGGGGGGCTGTCTGGGGGGGCGGCCGGGCTGGGGGGGCTGTCTGGGGGGGCGGCCCGGGTGGGGGGCTGTCTGGGGGGCCGGCCGGGGTGGGGGCGACCTGGGGTGGGGGGGCTGTCTGGGGGGGCTGTCTGGGGGGGCGGCCGGGGTGGGGGGGCTGTCTGGGGGGGGCCTGTCTGGGGGGGCTATCTGGGGGGGCAGCCCGGGGTGGTGGCTGCCCGGGGGTGGGGGGGTGAGGCCCGGGGGTGGGGGCTGCCCGGGTGGGGGGGTGAGGCCCGGGGTTGGGGGCTGCCCGGGTGGGGGGGTGAGGCCCAGGGGTGGGGGGGGCTGTCTGGGGGGCGGCCCGGGGTGAGGGGGTGAGGCCCGGGGGTGGGGGCTGCCCGGGTGGGGGGGTGAGGCCCAGGGTGGGGGCTTCCCGGGTGGGGGGTGAGGCCCAGGGGTGGGGGGGTGAGGCCCGGGGTGGGGGCTTCCCGGGTGGGGGCTGCCCGGGTGGGGGGGTGAGGCCCAGGGTGGGGGCTTCCCGGGTGGGGGGGTGAGGCCCAGGGGTGGGGGGGTGAGGCCCGGGGGTGGGGGCAGCCCAGGGTGGGGGGAAAGGGGACAGGCTGGGCAGGGACTCGGGCAGGCGTGGCCTGGCCAGCCCACCAGCCTCAGCCTCGGTTGCCTTCCAGATCTACTACTACGCGGACACGATCTATGAGGAGGCGGGGGTGGCGAAAGACAACGTCCAGTATGTGACGGCGGGCACGGGGGCGGTCAACGTGGCGATTACCATTTTGGCCGTGAGTGTCCGGGAGCTGAGCGCCCTGGGCCGCCAGGAGGGAGGGCGCCTCGAGGCGGGTCCTGGCCCCGGAAGGAGCCCTCGGTCCCTTCCCGTGTGGCCCTGGGCTCTGCTCAGGTGACAGCCTGTCCTTCCGGGAGGTGCCCGGGGCTCTCAGCCCCAAAGCGCCCTGTGCGAGAGGCCCCTGCCCGCGCCCCAGATGAAGGCGCTAAGGGGACCCGGGCTGCGCGGTGCGGGCCGCTGGCCGTCCAGGGGCACCGCCCGGGCACAGAGGGTGCGCACTGGGCGGAGGAGCTTCCTGCACAGGCCGCTCCGGCCCAGTGTGTGTATGGGGGGGCGGCTTGCAGCTCCTGAGCCCCCCCTTTCCCGGGCCCGCCCCCCAGGTGTTCGTGGTGGAGCTCCTGGGGAGGAGAATCCTGCTGCTCCTGGGCTTCTCCGCCTGCTTCCTGGCCTGCTGCTTGCTCACGGTCGCCCTGGTTCTGCAGGTGAGGGGGTGCGGCCCCCTTGCCCCGCTCCCGCAGCCCACTGCCCACTTCCTGCCCATTTGCCAGTGGCAAGAGGTGGCGCTTCCTGTTGAAGGAGGAGCCCGGTGCCATCCCTGCGCGGCCGGGCAGAGCGGCCGGCCCTCCGGGAGCCGAGGTTCCCGGCGCTCCCTGCCCCCGGCCGGCCCTGCGCTGCCCGGGGTGACCCCACTCTGCTTGCCCCCAGGCCACCGTCTCCTGGATGCCGTACCTCAGCATCGCCTGTGTCCTCAGCTACGTCATAGGACACGCCCTGGGGCCCAGTACGTACCTGGAGCCGGTCCTGCCTTCTCCGCCCTCTCCGGCCCCGGCCGCCCCGGGAGCTCCTGGCCTGAGCTCCCTAGAGGGGCTCTGGGGGGCCCGTCCCCGCGCAGGGGGGCTGGACAGAGCCCACTGAGGGCGGAAGCAGCAAAGCGGCCGTGGAGGTGGAAGACACGGCCCCGTGGGAGTGGGGTTAGAGCCTGCAGGGGCCTCGTAATTCTGGCTTCTGGTCTCCTCCCCCGGCTGCTGCCCCCGGGGGTCCCGGAGGCTCGCCACGCCCGCCCTGCACCACACCCCGAGGCCCCTGGCACCCAGCGGGGGCCCCGGACCCTGGTGGGCTCGCTCTGCCTCCAGCGGGCACCGCTCTCCCTCCTGCCCTCCCGCAGGCCCCATCCCCGCGCTCATCATCACCGAGATCTTCATGCAGTCCTCCCGCTCCTCGGCCTTCATGGTGGGGGGCAGCGTGCACTGGATCTGCAACTTCGCCGTGGGCTTGCTCTTCCCCTTCATCCAGGTGAGTGTGGCCCCGGCCCCGGGCCCGCGGGACCCCCCCCCACGGTGAAACGGGGGCGCCTCCCCCAGGACTGAGCCCGGCCGCCCTCCCCGCAGGAGGGCCTTGGGTCCTACTGCTTCATCGTCTTCGGCGGCGTGTGCTTCCTCACCGCCGTCTTCGTCTTCTTCGTGATCCCCGAGACCAAGGACAAGACGTTCATGGAGATCAACCTGACCTTCGCCAAGATGAACCACGTGTCCGAGGTGTACCCTGCGGCCGGCGAGGAGCTGAAGGGGATCCCCGAGCAGACGGAGCCCCCGGGCGGGAAGCAGCTCCCGGACAAGCTCACGCTGGTGTCGGAGGAGCTGCAGACGGTGGCGGACGGCCTGAGGGAGCTGCCCCAGAAGCTCAGGCTGGTGTCGGAGGACCTGAAGGTGGCTTCCGAGGCGCTCAAGGCCGTGTCGGAGGGGCTTCCCGAGGATTCCAAGCAGCCCCCGCCCCCCACAGTGCGGCTGTGACCCCAGGGAGGAGCCTGCGGCGTGGTCCGGGGGGGCTCCCTCCTCGGGGTGTTGTTCTGAGCCATCGTGGTCTTTGAACATCCAGAACTGGACGGTCCGGGGTGGGTGCCCACAGGGCTGCTGTGCGGTTACTAAAGCCGGACCGACCCATCCCCAGGCCCAGGCCACAGCGAGCAGCCGTCCTCCCACCGTGGCCGGGCCAGGCCAGCCACGGTGCGGCTGCCGTCACACCAGCTTTCAGGACAAAACGCATCCGTATGGCGGTGGGATAGGAGGAATCAAATCTGGCCAGAGAAGCAAGCCTTTCTCCAATCCCAGGGGTCTTCTGGGGGCCTGTGTTCAGAGCAGAATCCGTCCTCCTGTCGCATCTACTCTCTCGGAAAGGGTGAGGTCACAAGTGACGAGGTCCAGGAAGTTGGAGGACAGGTCCCTGTGGAGACTTGAACCAAGTCACGGACTCTTAATCCTAAATGACATTGTGAGAGGACAGTGGAATTGCCTCGGTATATTCAATAAAACAGATGTGATCATTTTTTCACCAACATGTGCTGCTTCTCTGTGAGCAGGTGGGAGGAGGCGGGTGTTCCCGGCTGCTTCAAGCCGTTTGACTGTCCTGGGGTGTAAGCCCCTTGAGAACACGGGTTTGTCCCGTTGTGTTTATCCCAGAATCCCCACTGCCTGGAGCAGGTGTAAAGGGGGCACTCAGGCGATGTCTTCTGAAAGAGGGGGAGCAATGAGAGGAGGTGGTTGTGAGTTTTTTAAATTTGAGATTGGGGGATCCTCTGCATGTCTTCAGGTACATAGGGAACACGGAGAGGTCCTAAAGGTGAGATGGGGAGGGAAAGAGGGAAGGAGGGTGAGAAGGAGGGAGGTAAGTGGGTGTGTCCCCCAACAGATGCCACAGAGCTATGATAGAAGCTTTGTCTAGAGACCTCTGTGTGCGAAGAGGGAACGTGTAGGAAGATGGAAAAAACGCTGAGGCCTGGGAAAGGACAGTGGAGAGAACACCTACTGAATGGAAAATCTGGTATTGGGAGGAGAGGCCCAAATTCAGGACCAGGTGGGACACAAGTGGGATTGGGAACAGCTTTTGTGGGGGGAGAATGATAACAAAGTAAAAAGCAAAGTGCTGGGGTTGAACCGACCTTGACCTCCTGCAGCAGGGATCTGCGGTGTGGAGGGGCCACAAAAACAGCCAACGGTGGACGCTCTCCACTCTGAGGAGCAGGAGGGCTGGCACGTGAAAAGACAAGATGCTGTGGTGTTACTGATTCCGTTCAGGTTACACACAGGAAGGCCGGGGGGTCCCTGACTCTGGAGGGCTACTCCCTCAGGCCAGCCTTGGTTCTGCCACTCAGTAATCGCATATCTTGGCTTGAACTTTTCTGTACCTCTGGCTTTTCTGTACCCGTGTCCTCTTCTGTTAAACGGGGGTGATAATAAGTATCTCACGTGGTTGGTTATGAGAATTCAATGATGTGTTTGAGTGTTTAGATCAGTGCCTGGGGTATATTAAACACTTACTTATTTTTTAGTCAATTAATTTTTTAAAATTAAATCATTGTTGTTGAAAGTATTACATATGCCCTCCTTTTTCCTCCATTGATCCCTTTTAGCCCATTCCCACTGCCCTCCCCAGGCCTTCACCACCCTATCGTCCATGTCCATGGGTTATGCATATACGCATTTAAGTTCTTTGATCTCTTTCCACCCACCCACCCTCCTCCGCCTTCCTTCTGAGGTGCCACAGTCTGTTCCATGCTTCCATGTCTCTGGATCTGTTTTTGTTCATCAGTTTATCTTGTTCATTAGATTCCACAGATGAGTGAGATCATGAATCACTTAGTTATTTTTACGTGCTTGGGAATGAGCTTGGATCTTGAGGGCAAATAAATTCACAGGTAAAAAATACCTGTACTATCCATGGATACTGAGATCTAACAATGGATCGTTGCAGTGGTAAGTTACAGATAAACCACAAGAGGGAGTCTAGGATGATCCACGTAGTATTCGAGTAGAGCTGGAGATAGTGGTACGAGCTCATGGTCAGCTTCCTATAGACTCAGGGGCTACATATGGGAGCATTTAGAGACGGGTGTGTATATCCGGGGCAGTAAAATCAAACCGGAAGAGAAAGGGATGGGCCTGGTGCTATGGTGGCACTGGAGGAAGATGTGGAATTAGGAAAGGCAAAAAGGGTCTCTCCAGCTGGAGAAGATGCAGCTGGGAAGTGCAGGGTGGCTATTCCACATGAGACGTGGCGGTGTTTAGGGGACTCTGGGTTGGTCTGAAAGTAAAGCCAGAAAGATGTGGGAAGCTGACCTAGAGTCTGTGGGTCCTTGGGAGCCAAACTGAGTCTGAACTTTGACCTCTAGATTAGGGGTGTCGAACTCAATCAGAGAAGGGGCCAAAATCTAAAATCCAGCCTAAATCTCGGGCCGAATGGTTTACTGAACAGTCATAAACTGTCATTGTGATGGAAACGCAGCAGAGTGCAGTGATGACAGCGCGGTGCGGGCCACATTGCAAGGCCTGGCGGGACGGATTTGGCCCGAGGGCCTTGTGTTTGACACATGTGCTCTAGATAATGATGCTGTTTTTGTGACCTCTGAGTTGCAGAGCGCGGTGTGGCAGTAATGAGGACGGGGTGGAACTTGGGTAGGGCGACCGGTTGATAAGAAATAATGCCGCCCTGAGAAGCCAGCAGTGGTCAGGCCCAGCGTGGAGGGGGGTCCAGAGAGAGACTCGGTAGGATGCAGTGACCACTAGGCCAGCACAGGTGAGATCTTATTCATTCAACCAATGGTTTTGAGCACCTCCTATGTGCCCTGCAGTGGATACGATGGATCTAACACAAGTACACAAATACTGAAGGTCATTTCAGACAGTACTCGGGGTAAAGTGTCAGAGAATGTCAGGCGAGAGTGGTTGCAGGGAAGATGTTTGTACCACGATGGTAAGGCCCTGAGACTGAAAGCCACCCCCACAAGCGGGGGGTGGGGGCCGGCCACTCCAGTCTGGCCATTAATAGGGTCTAGTGAGGGGAACTCACATCCGAGGCGTGTCCTGGCTGGCTGCAACGTGAAATGGCTTCCCATGCTGCTTGGCAAGTGCCGACAAATTCCATAGTCACTAGTAGCCCTGCACACAAATCAGTGTGCCAGCAGCTCTCTGCGGGGCCTGGCTGCTCCACACCCACGGCCCAGAGGCTCTCCATGGCCCAGAGGCTCATCCGCGGCCAGGGGTGGAACACATGCCTCGTCACCATGGTGACGAAGCCAGCATTTCACCAGGCCACTTAAGTTGCCTGCTCTCAGCAGCCACGCCCCTGGACTAGGGGACTCTGGTGGGGCTGAGAGGACTGGAGGCCACCGTCATGTGGCTATGGGTGCCACCATATTTGTGACAGAGTGACGGTTAATTTGCATATTGCCCTTTTATTAGATAGGATGGAGGTGGGTTGAGTAGTCATGCCTGCTAGTCCGTGAATGCCACCAGGTCCAGGAAGTGACGGGCTGGACCAGGTGAGGACAGCGGTCTGTGCTGGGACCAGCACAGAGCAGGAGGCAAAGGAAGGGGGCTGTGTGTGCCCGAATGAGCACCAGTTATGGTCACACCACCTCGGGGTGGGTGGGGGTGCAGTAAGCTGTCTCCCCCCCACCCCCCCAGCCCAGGTCTACTTGCAGGTCGGGCAGCGGTCACCTCCTGGAGCAGCCACTCCTCCACAGAGGCCCTCCCCATGGAGGTGGCATTGCAGCTGAGACTCAGGGGAGGAGGTTCAGGCAGAAGGAACAGCAGGTAGGAAGGAGCTCGGTTTTGCCATCAGCTTGACTTTGTTGCTGTGGTGGACTCAGAGCACACATGTCAAACACAAGGCCCTCGGGCCAAAGTCGGCCTGCCAGGCCTTGCAATGTGGCCCGCACCTCGCTGTCATCACTGCACTCCGCTGCGTTCCATCACAATGACGCGCAGTGACATAGGAGGCTTGTGATCTCGCCGGCCGCCTCGCCGCCCGCTGTACTTGCTATCTATTACGCATGCGCATAGATAACAAGTCATGCGAGATTCAGGAGGCGTGACCTATAGTCCGGCATCCGATGTGGTTGTGTGGGTGGCAGAGCAGAGGAGAGAGTGAGTGTGCGGGCATAAAAAATACACAGCAGAAGCTGCCAGTTCCTGGCATAAAGTGCAGGCATAAAAATCGCAACAGAATCTGCTATCTGTACCCAGCCAGGCATTTATTGACTGACTTTTTTTTTCTCCACTCCATCTGCCAAATCAAGCTATCCCTGTGCAGTTTTCAACTTTTTCCTTCTAACGCAGATTTCCAATAAACTACATCTTTTACTGCCAATATTGATCCCAAAATGTCCAGGAAAAGAAAAGTTGATGGTGAAGGCAGACAATTTAATGACAAATGGGAAAATGAATACATGTTTGTGCTTAGAGAGGGCAAACCAGTGTGCATATTGTGTTATGAGACAGTGTCGGTGATGAAAGAGTACAATATACGTCGTCATTTGACACCAAACATAATGTTATGTATGGCAAATATACTTTGGAAGAAAAGCATAAAATTGTTAAAGAACTAAAAGGCAAACTACAATCACAGCAGCAAATGTTTACAAAGGCTACAGCGAAAAATGATGCTGCAGTGAAAGCAAGCTTTATAGTGGCTGAAGAAATTGCCCGTACTTCAAGGTGTTTTTCAGAGGGTGCCTTTTTGAAGCAATGCATGCTAAAAGTGTGTGAGCAAGTATGCCCAGACCAGATACAGAGTTTTCAAAATGTCAGTTTGTCAAGAAACACCATTGCAGATAGAGTTCAAGAACTCTCAGGAAATCTATCATCACAGCTGGCCGAACAGGCATGCAGTTATCTCGCTTTTTCACTTGCTATCGATGAAAGCACAGACAACACTGATACAGCGCAGCTGTCCATCTTTATACGTGCTACGAAGACCAACCTCTCTGTCACTGAGGAACTTTTGGATGTAGCTGCCATGCATGGGACGACGGCTGGTAGAGATATATTTGAGGCTGTGGAGAAATCTATAAATAATTTTAAATTACCCTGGGAAAAGTTGGTGGGGCTAACTACCGATGGCGCACCTTCAATGTGCGGAGAAAAGAAAGGCTTGGTTGGACTAATGAAGGAAAGAATGCAAAAAAGTCACTGCCACACACCCTTGATTACTTATCATTGCATTATCCACCAAGAGGCTATGTGTGGAAAAGTTCTGGACATGAATGACATAATGACCACAGTCATTAAAACTATTAACTTTATACGGGCACGTGGCCTGAATCATCGCCAGTTCCAGCAGTTTTTACAGGAGGTGGGTGCAGAGCATGGAGACGTGCCATACCACACAGAAGTAAGATGGCTGAGCAAGAGCACAGTCCTCAAAAGATTTTTTGAGCTCAGAGAACAAATTGCTCTTTTCTTTTTTTTTTTTTTTTTTTTTTTTTTTTTTTTTTTTTTGGGTAGAATTCCACTTTATTTTTTTTTTTAATTTAATTATTTATTTTTTTTTTTACAT